AGCATGTTTGTCTGCCGTGTGAATTCAGTTACAGAAGGTTCACTGAATATGTTTTGTATTTGTTCAATTTTAGAATGTCTATTGCTGTTATAAAACCAAAATAAAGATTTATTTTATTTTAAATTATCAAGGGTTAGATATGAAATTTGTGGTTGATTCAAATCTTTGCTTTCTGATTGTACTTTTTTCTCTTTATACTCTCTGCTGAATGCCTAAATTATACTGATCAGTAAGGCAACATAAATGATAGAATTATAAATATAAATGATAAGATCTACATAAATTAATTCTGAGCTCCAACCAAAGTGAAGAAGTTCATCGGGAACAAAGATTTAATATGTTCTTAAAATAAAATTTTGGATTATCTGTAGATTCCAATTTTCCATTCTCCATTGTTATAGATAATTAAGAGTTGTATTTATTCTTCAACTGAATTTGTTAAAAATTCCTTTTAAAGTAATAAAAGGAAGTTAAAAATATTCTTATCTTTTCCCAAGCATGAGAGTAACATTTTTTTAATGCTTAACTAATCAAACTTGAATGGCACTCCCAGCTCATGTTATGTCAGGAAGTGCAAGTTCTCTGCTTTGTCAGGCATTTCACAAAGTAGGCTTTTGAAAATTCTCCCACGAGCTGAAAAGTGCAGAGACATACTATAAATTACCAGATTTATTGAAAGGTGAAATAGAATTTATAACAAGAGGGTAAAAAATGAAAATATGGGAAGGAGGAGTACAATTACTGTCCCCTGCTGAGATGGATCTAAAGAAATCACATCTTCTGATCTAGGCCCACCATAGAACAAGCTACTAGGAAGGTGTTCTAATATTCTACTCTCTCTAGCCTTTGTCTTAGTGACGAGGACCTGTGCAGAAGAACACAGAAGTTCACTATGTTATCCTAGGGGCAAAATTACAGTTTCCTTGGATTTTTGATATTCATTAAGCTGGTGGTACTGAGGTTAAAGACATCACAATAAGTGGAGGCCAGATCATAGTATATTTCCTCACCCTTTTGCAGGTGAGGAGTTTTACTCAGGACCATATGGTAGGGATATATTGTGTGGCACAAACTAGAAATGTGAAAGAACATTGGGAATTAATTACACACATTTATTTTGAAGATTGTTCAAATTATGCTTCACTGATTGCCAATGTATTTATTTAATAAACTGGCAAAAACATGATCAAGGATCTTTTAAATAAGAGCTTTGAAATTTCTTAACATTGATCTCATTTACGGAATTCTATTTCCATGCAAGCAGGAGAAGCGTATGTACGGAAAAAGTGTGAAAAGAAAGCATGGCAGGGGCGGATTCTGTCAAAATGTGAAGAGGATAAAGCAGGGAAGACTATGCAGTCTTTATTTGCACTTAGAACCTATGGGAGTTGTTGATGTGCTGTAAAGAAAATAGCCCTGGGAATAACAGTTTCCAGCACTGTAGAACAAGGCTGTATAGACACAGGAAAACACACAGGGTGCCTATGACACAATATGGGGTCCCATTCAGGTGGCTTCGTACTGTTTGAGAAATATATCTGTGATCCCTAAACGTAGCAGTAGAAGTGTTTCCTGGGCACCATCTGATGAGGTCTACAAGTGGTAGGAGAATGAAAGGATGGAACTATTGCTGGTAAGCATCAAGATGTTGCAAATATCTTTTAATATGTGTGATCTTACTTAGTCTGTACACAATACTGAGTAGTGTGAACTATTATCTCCAACTCAAATATGGTTAAATTCAGTGTTAGATTGGTGGACATGCTCAGGATACCACTGGAAGAGGCAAAGAAGTAGTCTGAAACCAAGCCTGTCTGGTATCACTTACAGTCTTACTGTAGACTCTCCTACAGTCTTACTGTAGACTCTCCTACCTCAAGCTCCAAGTCTGTGGTTCAGTGTACAGGGACAAGATGACCATTTCCAGACCTTACCACCTTTCAGGGAGAGGGCGTTGGACATGATTCTGAGCTGAGTCCTCTGTAGTTTTATGCGAAAGTGGCAGGGCAGTCAAAACTGAGAGCTACACCCCAGTGAAGTAGAATGGATCAATGTTTAAAAGAAGCCACTTTGCTCAAGCAGAGAATACATGCCAGAGACCTTATGCAGAACTAAGAGGTGTGGTGACCCATTTGATATGTGACATGAAGGCTAGGCAGGCGTCAGTGAATGGCTCTTCTGCATGGGGACAGGATAAAAGAAGGCCTGTCAGCCAAAATATAAAATATGCAAAGAAGAACAAGGTCTGTGATTAGGAGATTAAATTTGACCTGAAAACAATGAGACACATTTTTGTAATTACTAGATTCAGGAGGCAGGAATCAGGGATTTCACAATATCCTACTTCTTATATTTCTAGTAATTAACTGACTGCAGACCTAAGCCAATGACAACATAGTACGCTACCAGATTCATTACCAGTGAGGTCTGAATACTTTCAGTTCTGGTACAGATACCACTTTACAGATGAAAGATATGCAAATCATTTTGTCTAAAATGTTAGGGCAAATACGAGATCATGGAGGAAGATAACAGGTTCATTGCTGTATTATATCTATGCGTTTTAACTACTGCACAATTTAAAATAAGAAAGGCATCATAGTACTTCTTATAATCTCTATCAGCAAGGCTGAACATAAGTTTTTGCCTATGATAGGATAGATATAAAATAAGCTCCAAGGATTAAAATTTGGAAAGTAGAGAAGAGTGGCACCAGACGTAGTTCATAGTAGAAATAAAAAGACATTCACTTGTCTTGTATTTGAAAGCTTTCATTTTTATAAAATTATGTTAAGTTGAAAATAGGTAAAGTTATTTATTTGAGTCATTGTATCATTTTTGGCTTTTTTTAGTCAAGAGTTATTATACCAAGAGTGTATCTCAGGAACAGAGAGTGTGTTTATGAAAACACACCTGCACATGTGTCCCAGTCGAGCACATTGATGGTTGGTTGCTTGCATCTGTCAATCTGATTCCCAACAGTTTCAGGCCTGTTCAAAATCAAGGATTTATACTGTGGTAGTGAATTTATTCATTATCAGGTATTATTGAGTATCTACAAATGTGCCAGGCACTACTGCAGACATGAACCTGGGAATAATTTTTAAAATACTCATGCATTAAGAGAGCAATATACAATAAATAGATAAAAACATGAATCTAGTTTCTCGGGGAGATATATGGTATGTAGAATATTCTTAGGTGAAAATGATTGTCTTTCAAAGATAAAATAGTGGCTAGGGATCCAACATGTGGCTTTTATAGGGCATGATTACATATAATGTATGATATACATATGTATGTGTATGTGTGTGTGTGAGTTATATGGAGTACTATCAAAAAGATTTGCTAATAGATAGAAATGGGATCAAAAGGAGAAAAGTAGGGTCAAGAATAAAACCTATATTTTTGGCTTTAGCAACTAAGGAGCTATTTCATACTGTTATAAACTAGAGAAGATTTGGGAAGGAACAAATTTAGATGGAGTATGGAGAATTTGACTTGGTACATAATTATTTTGAGATACTTGATATTAGAGTTATACAAACAGCTGCTGAGTACTAAATGAAGAAGTCATGGAGAACTCAGGGCTAGGGCTACAAATCTGAAAGCCTTCTGCATATGCAAAGTTCTTAGCCCCTGGGGCCGAATGAGGAAACCTTAATGTAGATGAAGAGAGGGCTGAAGATGCACCCCTAGTATATTTCAAAACCTAGAAGCCTTGAAAAGGAAGATGAGCTGGAAATCATGGATAAGAGGGTCCTGAACCATAAACTGCTGGTATTTTCTATCATGAGTGAGAATAAACACACTATAAAAATAAAACCTTTATAAGCAATCCTAAGAATGAGGGAGTGCTGGGAGTTTCTAATTTTAACCCATGGAATTATGCACTGGTATGAACTGTTGAAAATATTTGTCATAGATAATACTTTATGACTACCCACTTAAAAATTTACTGGTACATACCTCTAGCTTTGTAACTATAGTTTTCAGGAAGTAGTGTGTCATGCTCTCTTAACAATATTAACATGTATATGTGCCAACATAATCATTCTGTTTGAATTATTCTTCTAAATTACAATATACATTTACATTAAATAAAACTTTATAAAGCCTTCTTCATCAACACAGACAACTGAGTATTCATTGGGAAGTGAATCTTATCACCTCCACTTTGCCAATAAGCATGATGGATTCAGAGGTTAACTGATTTGAATAATATCCGTTAGGAGCTAACAGACCTGTCCTATGATCTAAGCAAGGATTACAGATTCCTTAATTCATTGCTCTTCCTAAGACTGGCATTTATTATGTAGCGAGACTTCTTATGTACACTTAGAATAAAAGGCAATGTGTATGAGTAATGCAGGTTGTGCCTTGCACGGATAGACTATTTTTAATTCCCTGAGCTTGGGCAGGTTGTCACAGAGCAATACAAACAATAGTTCTGCTTAAAATAATACTTTACTTCAAATAGCCTCATCACATGGAGGGAAAAGAGCCACAGTTGGTTTTTTTTCCTATGAAGGCTGATTATCTTTCCAAATAATGAAAAATAAATATCAGATCTTCCAACCGATAATTGTTATTAATCAAATTGTTTTTTAAATTTAAAATTCTGCAGGTATTCTTTCTGATACAGTTCTTCATGCCTATTTTTCACCTTATGAGCTTTTCCCTTTCTGTGTGCTTACACGCGTTCCCTGAATTATGAGCGCTCACCCAGACGCTCCCTCAGGCCTCTCCCCTCTTCACACAGCTTCCTGGAGTCACGCTGATATCATCGTGGACCTTGCCCTTTTGCTGTCTCTCCACTGCCCTCAGTGAACCAATTAGTCAATGTCCATCTCAAATTACCTTTTCCTTGAAACAATATTTGTGCTTTCGCTCCTCCAACATCATTTATTTTTATTTGCTCGATTCTGCACATTGTTTTTTCATTTTCTTATTTATTTTCAACTTAGTTTTCTTCGTGGCTGAGGCCCGAGAATACTCACCATGCTGTGATGGACTGAACTGTTGGCTTTTGTCACTCTGCTTCCTCATGTCTTGTCCTTGTAAAAAGACAGCGAAAGACTCACAGTCCAGGTCAGTCACACCTTAGCCCCTCCTTAAAAAAAAGAAAGAAAGAAAGAAATTACTTCTCTTGCACCCTCCTGAAATGTCTCCCTTTAATTCGCCTTGACTCTGGTCTACTGAAGCAATTATTGCCCTTTTTTTCTTTCTCCCACTATAACTACTTCTTTTTAATGAAACAAAACATCAAGTAGAGAAATCAGTGGAAATCTAGCTCTTTCGTGAAGTCTAGCCATAGTAGTTGCATTTTCAAAAACTTTACTCTTTTTATTAGTATATATGTTTCATACATATTGATCACATTCGTTGTAGAGAATCTGCACCTGTACATCACACGTATTAATTCTTTTCTCCCGCTTCCCTCACTGCTTCAACCCTTCTTCCCATCCCCATATGCACAAGCTTTGTTTCCATTTTTTCTTCCATTCTTTTTTCCTTCTCCTTTCCTTCCATCCCATTTTCCTTCCCATTTGAACATGTTCTTCCTACTTACTAATATCTGTCTTCTGTTATGCTCCTCACTTACCCTTTGCATTTCTCATACAAGAGAAATCAGGCAATACTTAAACTCGTATCTGATTTATTTCACTTAAAATGAAATGCATTACCACGAGGGTATTAGTTCTTTTTGTAACTATCATTTACAAATATCAGTAGGTATTTGATTATACGATCAATTGGAAAGCTTGAATGAAATTTAGCTATGACACATGGGACAGTGGAGTCACTGACCTGCTCCTTGTGGTATTTATGCAGGAGAGCAGGACTGGTGTTAGTGAACAAGCTAAAGTCAATCGCTCATATTTTGGGATTTGAGGGACAATGGAAGGTGTGGACTTTTAATCACCAACATTTTGATCTAAAATAATCTGAGGCCATACTACATGACATATTTTGTGGGATTATTTTGTGGGGTACAATGAGATCACTAAATGTGTAAGTGAAAAACCAACAGAACAACAACACCCGTGATCTGATTACATAGGTCTGTGATGCACTTGAATGTACTTTAAAAATATAGATTCACAAGTTTTACTTATTATAACTTCTTGGAATGCTTCATAGTGTCTTTCAATGAAAGAATATAATGCAGCAAATGTATGGATCTTAAAATCAAAACAATGTTTTTCATCAAATTTGCTGTAAACTATTTGCATGCACCCAAATCATCCATATTCTACACTTACGGCCTTTAGGCAGGAGTGATCTTGAATAATCGAAAGAATAAGTTGATTTCACATGTTAAAAAAGCTTACATTCATTTTGATTTAGTCATAATTTTTTTTTTTTTTTGATTTTTCTCCGGTACCAGGAACCGAACTCACGACCTTGCACTTGCCAGGCAGGCGCTTTTGCCGCTGAACTAAATCCCCAGCCCCTGATTTAGTCATAATTAATAGACATCATTCAAGACAAATGTAAATTCAATGTACTCGAGTTAATATTTAAACTGTGATGAAAAATTATGAAACAAATAGCATTGTAAATACCATTGCTACTTGAATCTGTAATTTTACCCTTTTATTTTAAGCTCATTCATTCCTCTTTAAGAAAGAAAATGAGTAATGGTAATTATAAGAAATCTGATAAATTGAGCTCAGTCAAGCACACAAATATCAACTGTGCAATTTATTAAAATTTAACTTTCAAATTTAAACAAGATGAAAACACCATCATTTTATGAATTGTTTTTGAAAATTGTTCTAAAACAATTTATTAGCATATTTCTGAATATCTAATTGCCTCTTGCTATTATAGGGCCATCCTGATGCATATTTCTCCACACGTGGAAATGGAGTGGAAATGGAAGCCAGCGCACTCACACAAGTCATGTTAAAACAGCTCGTGATTTTAGGAAGCTAGAGTTACTGAGTTACTGTTATTGTTACTGTTAGAGTTACTGTCTATTCATGCCTATTGACTTTTGTCTATCATAGTTTAAGTTTTAGACTTTTTTTGTTGTCTTTCAAAGTTAGGATGAGTTTCTATATCTTCAAAAGCTCACATATTTACACAGAAATATGGAAAAGGAGAATATAAAAGTTAAAAATTAGTATTATATTTTCCACTGGACTATCTGTTCAAGGTACTGTTATGATTTAAATAAAAAAATTTCCCCCAAAGTTTTGTATGTGGATTAATCAACTCATGAGTTCATGTGTGGTTAGGGGTCTGGTTGGGCCGGCAGCTCTCTGAATGTGCGACCTGCAAGGACGTATTTCTGCCCCGGTTTTTTCCTTCTCTACCTGCTTCCTGTCTACCAGGGGTGAGCAGCTTTCTTCTGCCAAGTCCTTTCCAATTTGGATCCAGCCTACCATGGTCTGAATCCTGGAAAGCTGTGGGCCAAAATAAACCTCTCTACTCTTTTGTCCCGGTGACAGGAAAGTCACTAATACAGAGGACTCAGTGAATTTAAGATTCAAATTGTTCACATTCAAAATTTAACTTTTTCTCATTTGTAGTTTGTTAAGCATAACCATATATTTTCATTTGAAATACTAATTAATATTGATTTTAATTTTGTAGGAATTTATGAGATGTAAAAATATTTTGGTTCTTTTATTATCTTATATACATTAAAACTTTATAATCTCATACATATAAAAACATTAGTCACTTGTAATTTTTTCATCAATAAATAATTCACATTTCCCAATTTTAATATTTTATGTAAATCATCAAATCCCACCATGGATACACATGTGGAAAATAAAAGCAGAGAAGGATTTTAAAAGAAATAGCATCAAAACAATGATGCTAAAAGATGGGAAAGAAAAGAGAAGAGTCTAGTTAACATGAGGTAATTTACTAAAATTCTTTTAGCATTTTTCCATAAATTTAGAAGAACCAAATACACAAACTTGATAAAAAATAAAATTATCCCATAAAAATAGGCAAAAATATAGGCACAAATCAAAAATATTCAAAAGTTACACCAAAAATGCATATTATCCTAATTAGATTAGCAATTAAAATATTTACATGTATGTCTGGTGATGGAGATATGAACAGTAATGTTTACAGTAACAATTGATAAAATTCTTTTAAAAAAATCTTAGCAGGAATCAACACATCCCCAAAACATTCACGGCATTTGACCAGTAATCTTACTGATGAGGCATTATCATGCCAAAGTAATTTAGATGGAATAAAGCAGTAGACATTGAGCTGTTTGTCATGATGAAAAACTGGAAGTAAACTTTCTTTGTCATTAAATATGTAAGAGGGTGTAGAGGACATTTTTTATGGAATTTCTCCCCAAAACTGAAGACAAAAGGGAACAAGAACCCAATAAATAAGTTTGTGAATCCACCTCTGAAGTGTAGTTATTAAGGTTGGTCATATTCTTGCAGAGCTTAAGAAGTGGACTGCAAAGTCACCTGCTTGTGCCTTCCCTTCTCCCCTTCCAACTCAAATAGTGGCTTGTGGTACAACACTTAAGAGGTACTTTTTTAGCCCTGGGAGTGAATGTCTCCTTCAATTTGAGCTCTGTAATTCCACTGGATGATGGTTTATCCTGTAGGCATGACCGTGTGCTTGGAGGACACACAGAGGAACGCAGAGTGAGAGATGCAGGGACAGGGGAATGAGCTGGGAGAGTGAGAGAAGAGTGACAGAGAAGGAGCCTTCCAGCCCACTGTTGGGATGTCACAGGCTTCAGTCACCCTGCAGACTGATGTCTTCTCCTAGGCAGATATGTAAGTTTGGGCCATTCTTCTACAATTCTTCCTGCTCCCCACACCCTTTTGGTGTTGCTTCACTCTATGAGTCACCTTCTTGTGGGGTAGCAGACAGGATGGTTCAAAAGCAGCTATTTTCTATCTTTTCCACTTGACACATTGAATATGTGCCTCCTTGCTATGTCTGACAGTGAGGCTAAACCTCCCTATTCTCACCCTGCTTTCCCCTGTCTCCTTGCACACGGATTACAGTTGTCCCTTGGTATCCATGAGGGATTTGTTCCAAGCCCCTTGGCAGACAACCCCAATCCATAAATGGATAAGGAAAATGCGGTGTTTTACACAGTGGAACATTTGTCTGTCATAAAGTAAGATAAATTTGAGTCATTTGTAGGAAAATGGATGCACCTTGAGACAATGATGTCAAACAAAGTAAATTGGAGGCACAAACTTACATACCAAGTGGTTTCTCTTATGTATAAATATAAATAAAAAGCAAAATAGAATATAACAGGAAACAGGGAGACAAGCCTTCACAAAGGGGGACCAAGAGACGGAAGGAAGGGAAAAGGCATGGAAGAATGAAGATGTGTTATGCTCAAGCACAGACTCCCCACGATGAATGTCATCATCACATACTGCAAACGAGTACTAATAAAAGCAGAACTGAAAATTAAAACAACTCAGTGCACATCCTAAAATATACTTGACATCATCTTGATTACTTGTGATATCTAGTGCTACTTGAATACTCTGTAGATAGTTGCTATGCTGTACTGATTACACAATACTGACAAAAGCATCTCTGTACATGTGTAGTATAGACACATTTTTTCCTATGTTTGATCCAATGTTAGTTCAATCCATGGATGCAGAACTTACAGATATGGAGGAACGACTGCCGTTTTAATGTCCCTACAGCATAAGCTCCACTCTCTGTGCCTGTTTGTATTAATAACATTAATACTAGAAACATCATGGAGTATTTGTCGTATGTATGGGTGTATTTAGTACAGCTCTTTGCAGGTCTTCTGATCCATTCAGAAGACTAATTTACATCTTAGTCAACACCTCTCTGATCTGAATTGTTCACACAAGAAGCAAACAATGTATGTGTAGAATTCTCAGAGCGGCACTGCATTCATTGCTTTCTCTGGATGACCCAAGAATAAATCACAGAATTCTTGTTTTTCTTTTTGAAAGCGATGTCATTGTGGTATCTTAGAAAAGTAAAGTGCCATTTCTGAAGGTTATCAGTTTCCATGGAATTTGTACCTGTCATTTCCATCTCTGACAAGAAATATCTATCTACTAACACTTCTGACTTTGACAGAGCTGTGCTTTATATAGCATA